GGGGGAGCAAAACGCGTGGCATCGTTGTCGCGCCTCCATTCGGACCGCAGGGGGCGTGACAGCTTTGAAAGCGTAATAGATGTCCCCGCGAAGGGGAGTGTTCGCGGAGTTCAGGCAAGGGTGTTAGAATGGTTGACACGCATGCATTTCATAGTAGACCGCAGCTCGAATTTCAACTCGTTAGGCAGCATTCTTACGTGCGCTAGTACACGAGGGAAACACGCTAATGTAATGTACTGCTGAGGGGATAGTTAATTAGCACTTAGATTAACACGCGCTTGTTGTTTATGGCAAGTGGATAATAGGATGTACTTAAACTACATTAATTTAATATGTTGGGTTGTAAAAATATTTTCCGCAATTGTCTGATTCTCACGAAGTCGTCTCGCAGGTTGAAACGTGTCATTTAAAAATGTTCTCGGCTCTTTTTAAGTCAGTGCCCTGTCATTTGGACTCCCGCTGAAACATTTCTGGATCCTCCACGGCTCGAGGCAGCTGCCAAAATGAAGCTTCAGGTCAACAGAGAACATCTTTCTTTAGTTTGTCACCGGAATAGTCATCCGAGACGTTCCGGCAGGCGCTCGTTACGGCCTATTCTTCCGCGTGCCAGGTTCCCTCTGTATTTAATCTCCGATTTCCCTCGCGTTGTCGCATCATCTTTGTTGTCGCGACGACGATCCTATGTTCCGTGAGAGATACGAAACATTCCTATGCGAACTCGCATTAAGGATATAAATGGTCATCCCTGTATCATCGTCGCGGTTCGTATCTGCTCGTTAAACTCAAAGAAGCGTATTGGAAGTACTTCAAACAAGTGATTCAGATCTTCATTAGTGACAACTTTCACGATAAAGTACTGTTAACGACTTGGGAGATTGTTTTTCGATTTTGTAGAAACTCTTGGTAGAGCAGAGACATAATAACTTTGTTGAGTATTTTCTATTACTCGACACTAAAATAGTACTAGCTGGATCAAACTAAACGAATTAATGAAAATTACGTTATTTATAGTTCCACTTCTCTTAACGGATTCTTAATGCATTGTAAGAAATATATCAATTGCTGGTAACTTAGCGGCATTGCGATAAGAGGAGAAGACTGCCATTATTAACGCACGATGGGAATCGCGAATACTGCAATGGAACAATTAAGAATCCGGTTATTTCGTCATAAAAGGCATTCCGAAACAATACTATTCCGCGAGCGCTTATTACCTCCAGTTTCTTTCGCGCTGCTGCCCGCGTCTCCTTCATTGGAACGAGGGGGTTCCTATGAGGTTAGGAAGCTCGCGGTGGCGACGCCGGCGGAGGCGGCGGTGTCTGTGCGCGACTGGTTTGACCACTAGGCCGGCGGGCGCGGGCGGGCG